TATAGATTTCTACAGTTTTGTGTTATTATTTTACTTTGATTTCATTTCTGCAATTCACTTATCCCTCTTTCTTTTTAATGTTACAATTGATGCTTTCTGTGTGCTCCAAAATTCAGTTTAGCCTTTGATTTTTCTATTTTCCCATTCTTTTTTTTTTTTCTTATGTTCCCTATTGCTTGTGCAGAGGATACAGCAAAATCTTGTTAGGCCTATGTAGGATCCCTTTGTTTTGTGACTTCCTTTTTCCTTTTATGTGCCAGAAGTTATCTTCTTATCTCACATTTCCCATAATTTTAGGGACTGCATTCCTACAACCGCGTAGCGTCCAACATAGTTCATATCTTGAATCTTGTAGCATCTTATTAAACCCTTTACCTTTTTCAAGTCAGCTATAGGATTAGTTAGAAGGTGATTCTTCCTAGATTACAAGTTCAAGCCTCCCTTTTTAAGCAAGATCTTTCTTCAAAGAGAAGCTGCTGGATGCTTTGATATTAACGTTGCCTTTCGTGTAGGAGATGATGCTTCCAGTATGATGAGTCAGAAATGAGTAATCCGACAATGTATACTGCATTCTCTCTTTATTCATCCCAAGTCACAGCCAATATTGTAGCACAAACACTACCATTTTAGTTAACAATGGGCTAACTTGCAAAGTAGCTTCAAGATCTAACAACTTGATGAAAAATTGTGGTGTTCACAAATTTGTCATAGTTGCAAGCTTGAAGCTATAATGTTCTTCTACCCTCCAAAGAATACCCTCTTTGATAAGGCAAGGTTCACTTTCTCATCCCTCACTTGTTCAGAGTGATTCTCTATCATTTTACCAAGAAAATGCTAAGCTTTAATCCATCTTTTGCAGACATGGATTTTCTTTGAGTTTTTCTCGTAACTTCCCTTGATCAATTCCCTAATCAAGGACAATTCGAGGATACGTATATATATATATATATATATATAAAGGTGGATGGGGTAAAGCTTTGAGGCAGCATTATGCACAAATCATTTCCAGGTGCATCATCACATTCTAATTCTTTAACGTATGCAAATTTTAAAATTTTAAATGCAACTTGTTAGTTGTAGGAGGACTTATTATTAGGCTAATTTATGCCATACCTATGTTAACCAACCATTTTAGTTTCTTATTTCTTTAGGATTCTTCTGTTGTACGTATCCATCCATTTGGTGTTGAGAAAACTCTTCATGAACACATACATGAACTGCATGGAGCTTGGACCTTGAATGTATGTCGGTGGAGCTTTAAATAACGGCCAGTAGTTGGTTTTGATCAACATTGTAAAAAATAGTAGAGAAACTGTGAAAGTGAGTTGCAACAACAGCAGGGACGTTAGTAGACCAGTTATGGTTCTGCTCGATGATCAACAGTGATTTGGTCTCCAATTCCTCTTGATACACACTCAGCACGCTTAATGAGATTCCCAATTTGATTGGAGATTTTGACTTCCAGCTTTATTTTGGTGATGATTAATACATTAGTGATCCAACAATTTTATTCTTGATCATTTTTTGTTGTGTACAATCCTAGAGTAGAAAGAACTTTGTAATAATGCTATTTTTATAGTGAATGTTTTCTACTGGACTAGGTCCCTTGGTTTTTTCCCCTTAAGGAATTTTCACATTAAAAAATTTACTGTCTTGATTTTGTGGATGTGATAATTTTTATTCCTGTTGCTTGATTTATTCTTGAGTTTGATTATTTTTCATTTGATTACACACACCCAGAAAAATACTGGTTAAATGTGGTATTTGATGAACCCATTTAAAATCATGTGTTATGTACGTAGATTGATTTTTGATCCATGAATCCCCAAATACTAAAAAAGCACACTTTTATCTTTGTGATCCCTATTCAAATTCAAGTTATTAGCTGAATTGAAAGGACTCTTTGGTGGTAGATTATAATTGAACTTGCGTATACTGTTAACCCAAACAAAGACCTACGATTTGATTCATATACATATTTCTGAATTCAATTGAATAAGAGGGTTATTGTTCTCAAAAAAAGAAAAGTAAATAATTTATTCATATCCACCATAAGTTTGAGAACTTAGTTCAAACCCTAAAGAAATATTATTCAAAAGTTATGATGGGAATAATCTCTAGTATCCTGTGGCTGTGCATAATTTTATATATAAGAAATGAAATATTATCTTTATTAGTACATTTACTTCAGTTGAATACTGAATACTCTAGAGCCGGAAAGGTTAGGGATAGTATCTGATATCAATCTAGAGCAACCAGGCTGAATGCTGTTTCATTTTCAGCCACGTCTGTTGTACATGCATCCGGATGAACCCATGTGATCCTGGCAGCCACAAATCATTTTGTACAGTTGGTTTGCACGTTATAATGTTCTAGCTTTCTTCGCTTGGCACTGATCTTTTCAGGGGTTGCACAACAGCACCGCACATTACCTACAAAAATCAGCACAAAAATATTAGTAGAAAAGCTAACTGTTAACAGCCCTAAGTATGAGCTACATTGTAATTAGTCTCTGGTGTAGACATATTATGACTGATAGCTAATATCTGAATTTGATTTTTTTTTTTTTCGTAAGGGAAATTATGTAAAATGACGCATTTGGATGACAAGTTAACCCTTGGGACTGTAGTCTTGGTATTCTTGAAATGCTATGACATCCAAGTCTTTGACAAGGTTTAGAAAACAATCTTTTGCTCTAAAGCAGCATTTATCAGATTAGGAACCACCCTCTATATAAATATACTAAAAGGAAAATCAAGGGCTCAAAGGCAATTATGTTCACATGCAAATTCCTATTACTGGTCTTCCAAGTTGGAGAGACATTTATTACCATATCCACAACGAAATGAATGCAAGAAAGGTAAACAAATTAGTACAGATATGACATTTAGTTTAAATTGAAAAGATTCTAAGATTGAGCAGATATAGAAGAACATGTAAAGAAATCTCACCACACGGCTCCCACTTATTGAAATTCACCAGCCATGTGCTTGAACCATTGTGTGTAGATAATACATGAACCACCCAAACCCAAAACATTTTTCCCTGCTTGTCTCCATACCACCCTTTCAATTCATGTATGCGTTCATGTAGAGTTTTCTCAATACCAGATGGATGGACAGTTACAGCAGATGGACCCTGAAGAAAGAAGAATTAAAATGGTGGTTCTTTCTAAACATGGATCATAAAGTATTCCAACAAGAAATGAAAAGTGGAAACAACATTTCGTAGTAGATTCATTAAATAAAGAAAATCAATAAAAGTTGATGCAAAATGCTCAATAGGTTCCGGTCAAAGTAGATCTAAAATGTAACTTAGTCCTAGTACTGGTTCTAGGTACAGCTACATAAAGTACATTTTGGTCAAGCATTTAAGCTAAAAGTTTTCTTCACTTATCAGCCTATTATTTTAGGATAAATTTGCTCTCCTAATTGTCCCAATAAAAGCTAGCTATATACTTCTATCTATACCTATACTCAAGTTAATCCATCCGCCATCACTCCAAACTTACCAGGGGCTTTTTATTTCCACCTGAGCATGACATATGGAGCAGCAGAATAGGGATACATTCTCAACATCATGATGATCAACCAGCAGAAAGAGCAGCATGTCTAATTAAAGTAACTAATAGCAATACGAGCACGACATCACTCTGGAGTGAAGCAATAACTTATGAAACCTACCATTGTACGACCAAGATCAGAAACTATCATAGGACGTGCAGAAGCACTGAGCCGATCCATGACCACTCTACTGCAGCCTTTGGTTAACAACTACCACAATTAGAAGCTTCTCTGTGAATTTAAGTTATGAATTCTACAAAACGGGACAAGTTTTGGAATCACATCACAAAGAAGTAAAACTGCATGGAACCATAGAAATCGAAAGCATTTACAAAATTCTATATATTCTTATGGTTAAAATTTAAGGTGTGAATTCAACAAAATGCCAAAAATCTTAGAAACGAGTTTCAGAACTAAACACGAACAGGCAGAACGAATCAAATCATTGGGATCGGAAACAAAAACACAACACAACATTCAGAAAACAGGAAAATCGATTCAAAACTTCAAAAAATCACCTGTGATCGGATTGATATAAGGATTAAAGAACGCTGCAATCCATTCTTTGTCTTAGAGGCGTTCTTGGTCTCAAAGGATGAAATCAGTATCCAGTTTAGGGATCTGATACTGGTGCTACGTGGCAACACGGTGGGGAGAGTGATGGAGCGAGTGGCGAAGGGTGACTGCCCTTAGCATTGCTCTTGCCAAAATTTTAGACTACTGTTTGGTTTCATCCCTTTAGTTCCGCCAATGAGTGCCACATCATTAGTTAATGCCACGTCATATCCTACGCGACTATTTACTTTGTTAGAGTTATTACGAGTTGGATAACCAAAATGTTGATTTTGATAAAGTTGGATGACTACCTAATGAAATTCACCCATTAATGAACCATAAACATTTCTGGAAAAATCTTGTTTATATAATGGAATGAGGATCCGGTCAAAAATATATATAATGGAATAAGAAAGTTTTTAATCTAAAACGAGGGAAAAAATAAAAATAAAAAAATCAATTCTTATATTTAGTTGTCATAGGGGTTTGAACTCTTATCATCAATCTTAATAATAAGATTGTTAATATTATAAAATCATAAATTCTCTAAAATGTCTGGAGCAAATTGATATCTTTACCAAAATTGAAAAAGATGTAATTTTTCCTAGTTAACATGCATGTTGGACATAATCCTGGTTTTAACTAATTAGAACTTAGTGTTTCTCTGCAAAATTACGTCTTCTTTAATTTTAATATAAATGACAATTTGGTCCAACCTTCAACTATTTTTAAAAAGTTATGATTTTATAGTATTAAAAATCTTACAATTAAGATGATAATAAGAATTTAAATTCGTATAACTGACTAAGTAATACTAATAATTTAGATAATAGAAAAATCATCTTCCAGAGATGAAGTTTACATTCACCTACTTGTCCGTCAAAATCAACAATTAAATCTTGACAATTATTATTTTTCAAATGGAGCGGTAAGGAAGCTCCTCAATTTCTCAAGCTATCAACACAAAGTAGGCCTTAAATGACAATCGGTCATGTGCCACAAATAAACAGTAAATCTTTGTTTTTCTTATTCGCACATCTGATGAGGTTTTTTCTTTTCTTTTCTTTTCTTTTTTACAAGATTAAATGTGGAGAGTTTTAGAAAAGGAAAGGATTTAAACTCAAATACAATAAAAAAATCTCATGTGAGAAGCAACTATTTATTCTACTTATGGTTTCTCCTCACATTTAATGAGTTTAAAAGTGAATTTAACTTGACTTTTGAATCTTTAATTTCATTAAAAATGGATTATAAAAGTTAAAAAATGCTTTGTCAAGCATATATTTTAAAATTATTATATTGTGAGTTTCAACCTTTTTCAAAATTTGTATCATCGTGACGCACAATGATCCAATAGCAATTGAGAGAGATATCAGCATTAGTGAATTAATTTTACCTTTTT